TTCGCATCCTGTCGCTCCTCCAAAGCCCCGCCCCTCGGGCTGCAGCTCGCAGGGGCGGAATCGGGGCGGGGCCTCGCGTGTGGGGCCTGGAAAGCGACGGAGCGGCGGCGGGGCGGGGCGGTGACGTCACTGTCTGTGCGTGGCGGGGCGTGGCCGCAGCCTCAAGAGACTCCCCTCCCGAGCCAGCTACGTTGTCTGAGCGCTGCCTAGCGGCGAGCCGTTTGAATTCGATGGACGCGGGCGGGGAGGGAGTTCAGAGCGCAGGAGCCGCCTGGCTTCCCTGAGTCCCGCCTGCCGGTAGCCGGCGGGGGTGAATAGGAAAGTTAGCGCCTAATTTCCGTCGCTCATCCAGGAAGCCAACCTTGGAACTGACCTTTGGTGCGAATCCTCTCCAGAAGTAGAAAGCCATACACTAAAGGGGAAGGGAAGGAACACTGAGCCCTGATCACGGGCCTGGAACCTTTCAACACCAGTTATCCCGTTTAAGCTCCATAATCCTGTATGACAAGTATTGTCGCCATTGCAGAGGAGGAGACTAAAAAAGATTTCAATGACTTGCCCAAGTCACGTGGTTGGTGAATAAATGCCGATGACGTAGGTGTGGTTTTCTTTCAAATTAGACGAGTTTCTAAATTGCAACATGAAAAATTTAAAGCTCATCAAGGGCCGGGCGCGGTAGCTCACGCCTGTAATCCCAGCACTTTGGGAGGCCAAGGCGGGTGGATCACCAGGTCAAGAAATCGAGACCATCCTGGTCAACATGGTGAAACCCCGTCTCTACTAAAAATACAAAACGTTAGCTGGGCATGGTGGCGCATGCCTGTAGTCCCAGCTACTCAGGAGGTTGAGGCAGGAGAATTGCCTGAACCCAGGAGGCGGAGGTTGCGGTGAGCCGAGATCGCGCCATTGCACTCCAGCCTGGGTAACAAGAGTGAAACTCTTTCTCAAAAAAGAGAAAAAAGAAAAAAGCTCATTAAGGTACTTTTGTAGCCTCCCTTCCTCGATGAACATGTTACATCCCTAAATACTTACATATCACATTTTTCCCCCAGCGATTCATGGTGGCATAATATCCTGGTGTGTAGATATCTCGCCCATTCTGCTATTGATTGTTACATCATCATCTAAAAGATAAGGCTGGGCTGAATATCTTCATACATAAATCTTTGCATCCTGCATTTTCGTACGGCTGATTCCTAGAGGTGTAATTACTGAATGCTCC